ACCTCTTCTATACTAACATAAAACCCGGATACCCAAACTCTGATTCACCTTCAGAAAAATCAAAAGGAGTAGATTAAGTTCAGGCTAAACAAGAGAAAATCAACATAAAAAATAACAGGTATACTAACAAAAAGAACCAAACAATCGATAATAATGAATGTCGCGGTGAGACAATCACCATAATAGCCTCCAATAGTCTCGATACTAGAGTAGTATAATGGTTTGTATACACACTCCTCGCAAGATGTATTCACGTAGCGCTGCGAGTGGAGAGAGTGAGTGTGAGCGAAGCGAGCGCGCGCGCACAATAGTTTGCGCATAGAGCTCCTCGATTACTATCCTGCGCGCGAAGTCAGACCATCTATTTAATATGATGAGATCGATATCATATACGAGCGTGTGAGCTCAACTAGTCTCACATAATCAAGAGCAAAATTTACTATAAATCACTCTGAAAGTCCATACCCTAAAGGTTAAATGTAAGCATACCAAAAGAGATAAAATAAATCTAACTAACGGACAAAAAATATATTAAAATAATTAGATATTATGAGGAAAGTTTGTTCCCTACAAAATAACTAATAGCAATTTTGAGCAATACCTATTATTTTACCCACCTGATTAGGGACCCTTGTCGCGAATCTGAATATAACCCAAGGATCTTTCACGCTCCTACATATGCTATAACATATGTAGGCGCGACATCTATGATCACCACATACCACATCTACATCGTGATGAGGTGGTTCTAACATACAAAGGCATGCTACCTGACATTGAGAGCGATACTTCTTAAATCCTAACTTAATAATAACGTAATCACTAAATTATACTATAAAGAGTATAGTCCATAATCTCACTCTCATTCATACAACATTTATTTCTCGGCGCGTATTATGCTATGATCGAGAATTGAGATTCAGAAGAGAGAATGAGACAGTAGTCAACTATAATTTTCCACCGCGTGAGAGTAGCGATTGAGTGACATTTACTATATATTCTATGATGACTGTAATTGAAATAGCAATACATTGAGCGTATATAAAATATCCATACAGACCAACTCAGATTTGAGCTCCTGCACCAATAATTTCTTAATCCACCATCGACCGGTCGCAATCCTTATTAATATCAATATGAACTCTCCCAATAATATTACGCTGTTATCCCTAAGGTACTTTATCTTTATTCCAAATAACGAGGATCAATAAACCAATATAGTAGAATAAAAAGAAGTTAAAATTATTCCCTTGTCACCCAACAAAACATTATATAATAAAATATATTAAATACTACCAAACATATATTTTAACATAATAATATTTTAAGATCTTATTAGGGTCTTCTCGTCCCTTTATTATTTAAGCTTTTTGACTTAAAAAATAAAATTCAATTAATTACACCGAGGACAAGTTATTGTTTTCGGTCAAACCATTCATTCCGCCTTCAAATTAAAAGGACTAATGATTAGATGCTACCTTTTGCACGGTCAATATACCGCGGCCATTTTAATATTTCAGTGGGGCAGCACGACTTCATATTAATTCAAGAAGACATGTTTTGGATAAACGGCGAACAAAATTATTTGCCTAAATTCCTTAAAATAATAATCAACAACATAATATAAACAATTCATTTACTAATTCCATCATTATTACACAAGAAATAAATTATTCTTTATTTATCTAATACAACTTTAATATAAATAATTATAATTAAGTAAATATTAACAAACTCACAAAACAATAGCCTATTTAAAGCTCATATTAATACACCAATTAAATCACATTTAAATTTAAATTCGAGCTTATCCCCAATCAGTTAAATATAAATAATATAATATATAATATATATATATATATATATATATATATATATATATATATATATATATATATATATATATATATGAATATATTATTATATATATATATATATATATATGAATATATATATATATATATATGAATATATATTAAAAATAATTACCAAAATTAAATTTTCATCTTAAGAAAACGTTAAGATATCTTAAGAAACGCATTAAACATTCACTACCATTTAATTATTCAATATATTTTTGCTACATATAAATCATTAAATAAAATAGCTGTTTCTTAATCGAGGAACATAAATATATTAATAATTTTTAATAAACCCTGATACAAAAGGTACAAATACCTCTTCTACCTCAAAATAACTATTCAATTCTTTCATAACTCCATCACTGTAAAAATCAACTATAATTAATCAATTAATTTCTAATAAATACTTAAAAAAAAATAATATTAAAAATACTTCTTTAAATAAAAATTAATAATACTAATATTATCAAAATATTTGATTTGCACAAAACCCTCCAATGTAAATGGATTGCTCAACTAACAAGCTCCTACTTGCCATTCCAGATACACCTTCCGGTACATCTACTAGTTACGACTTATTCATCTTAAAAACAGAGAGCGTACGGGCGATATTGTACACATTCAGGCCCTAATCAATTAATCAAATTTATATTAATTTACATCAAATCCACCTTCAAATAAATTATTCAAACATTATCCATATAAATATTTTTTATTGTAATCCATCTCTACTTGATTTATTAGCACACCTTGGACCTGAACATAATATAACATATCAAATATAATGATTTTTATACTATCAACAAGATAATCTACTGACGCGGTATATAAACTGATAACAAAATCAAGTTACCATAAATCGTGTGATTATCAATTACAGAACAGATTCCTCTGAAAGGACTAAAACCACGCGAAATTCTTTGGTTTCAAGAGTTCATAACTACTTACTACCCTGATTTTTAATATTGACATAATTATAATAGGGATATCTAAATTCTAGTTTTAAATTTATTAATTCGAAGATCATTAAATCATTATCAAATAATAAAATTTATTCATCTTTCACCAAAAACCAAATTTTAATATAATTGAAAAACAACAATTTCACTTCTAATCAACAATAGTTTACTTGTATTTCACGTCTAACCGCGGCAGCTGGCACGCATTATAACCAATAACTATAATAAATACTATATCCAAATCAACTTAATTGTATAATATTTAATTACTTACATTTATATTTTCTAGACATTAAAAATTGTAAATCATTCTTCACGCAAACAAAAAAAGCAGAATAAAACTTTATTTTTCACATTACATCTCATGGGCACAACCAATTTAACTATTTGATAAATTCCATTCAACAACACATTTCAAAATGAAAAATGCAATATCAATTAAATCCTAAGATTATTATACGCGTTCAAAAAAATTTCTTATGGGCATGCCCCAACAAATCATCAAGCTCGAACAACCAGCCAAATTATCCGATCGACTTCAACTACCTCCCTAACAACACAACTTTATTTTTTCAGCATTTACATCTCATGGATCAACCAATTATTACACTATTATAAATTCCATTCAACAACACATTTCAAGAAATTAAATTCAATACAATTAAATCCTAAATTTTATACGGTTCAAAAAATTCTTAGGGGCATGCCCCCAACAAATCATCAAAGCTCGAAACAACCAGCCAATATTATCCGATTCAAGTGATCAATACATTAATTATTATATGCTTAACAAAACAACAAAAATTATATAATACTATTATACTTACTAATTTTTCTTTTTTTCTTACAAAAAAGGAAAAATTATACCTTAATTAAATTCCAAATATTATAATCAGTGAATTAAACAACTAAAGGAAAATAAATTTAATATTATGCTTCAATTTTTAACAAATTAGTTCTTTAACCGGATGGGATATTAATATTATTTATATATATAAGGCATTTATTTAATAGGTATATATATATAAATATTATCTGCATATAATACATTTTAACTATAAGATTTCTAAATTTACTTCTATATGCATGCACATTGAAAAGTGGTTTCTGATTATTAATAAATTTGATTATATATATGAGATGAACTAATATAAACTAATATTTCTGTAAGATTATAATAATATATATAATATAATATATATATATATATATATTATATATATATATAATCATCCCATCATCATAATCAGAATTCCCTTACATGAAAATTCATCAATAATCAGAAATTTTTTTACATCAAATTTAAACTTAATATCACTAGGCAGGCTTACCTCCTGTTCTTAGATTCTTACCTAATGAATAATTATTCAGAACTCATGTTATATGAAATAATATTTACAATATTAATTATGATTTTATGTTCACTATTACCCTATTTTGCTAACTTACGATTAGTAATATCTTCCTTTTTAATTAACATAAAATCAATAAAAGGAAATCAACCAAACAAATCTAAAAATTCAATAATATTTAGTTAATCTTTCCTTTAAATAACAATGAATCTTCAGTATTTAGACTACCCTAATATCCTATAATATATTTTTCAGAATTTAAGCGTTCTTAAGTTAAATTTAAACTAATTAGCCTCAAAGCTGGAAAATGAAAATTCCTATTTTAAGCACTTAGTAAATATTACCAACCTTTAGAATTGCAGTCTAAAATCATTATTGAATATAAGACCAATGATAAGGAAATTTTATTCATAAAAAGATTTTTACAATCTTATCGCCTAATACATTCCAGCCACTTTATCGCCAACGATGATTATTTTCTACTAATCATAAAGACGATTGGAACATTACTATTTTCATTTTTTGAGCTTGAGCTGTATAGTAGGCACATCACTTAAGAATTTTAGATCCGAACAGAACTAGCGACAACAGTTCATTTAATTGGAGATGATCAAAAATTATGTTATTGTAACCGCACAGCATTCATCATAATCTTTTCTATAGTTATACCTATATAATTGGAGGATTTGGAAATTGTTAGTACCATTAATATTAGGAGCTCCCTAGATATAGCATTTCCTGAATAAATAACATAAGATTTGACTTTTACCTGCATCATTTAACCCTTTTATTAACCAGGGAATAGTTGAAATGTGCAGAGGAACAGGATGAAACAGTTTACCCACCTCTATCACAGGAATTCTCATGCAGGAGCATCCGTGTGACCTTCAGCCAATTTTTTCATTACATTTAGGCGGGAATTTCTTGAATATTCTAGGAGCTGTTAAATTTTATTACCACTCCCTAATTAATATAGAAGCACCCAGGAATATCACTTAGATCAAACACCCATTATTTGTGCTTGAGCAGTTGGAATTTACAGGCCCGTTTAATTATATTATCATTACCAGTCCTAGCCGTGCTAATTACTATATTATTAACAGACTCGATCAATCTTAAACTACATCATTTTTTGATCCCGCGAGGAGATAGGAGATCCAATTTTATATCAACATTTATTCTGATTTTTTGGACATCCTGAAGTTTATATTTCTCATGTCGTACCTGGATTTGTTATTAATTGTTCTCATATGTATTATTCAAGAAAGAGAAAAAAGGAAGCTTTTGGTTCATTAGGAATAATTTATGCAATATTTATGCTATTGTTTACTAGTTATTTGTTGTGATGAGAAACATCATAATATTTACTGTTGGAATAGATGTTGATACGCGAGCATACTTCAACTTCAGCAACTAAATCAGTTGCCAGTACCCAACAGAATTAAAAATTTTTAGAGACTTTGGCTTTTTTTCGCTACCTTTCCATTGCGCCGTGCGAGAGCTCTCACGCATGACCGATATAATACGTGCACTCTAGTAGGTTTCGTATTATTTATTTACAATTGCGTGTAGCATTGTCACATATGCAGGCCGTGCTTTCACTTTCGCAATAGGATCCGCCTCCGTCACTACATGATATCAAATACATAAATGAGCGATGACCGATGAATGACATAATCTATCATGCGAGTGGCGGTTTCCGACCCCTGTCTCGCAGAGTGATTAGGTCCCCGTCACTTCTGAATAGTGATCATACTGTGATCCCTCGTTACATTAGTGCGTCGCCTTGACTCCTACTAAGTCTACGTCGGCTTCAGACTTCTACAACTCGCCCATGTAGATCATAGCCGTGGGCAGTATTGTGCTATTATAGCAGATTTATCACTGATATCCTTTATTCTCTGGATTAACAATAAATCCTAAATGTACTAAACAATACAATTTATAGTAATATTTTATTGGGGTTTTTTAATTAACATTTTTTCGCCCACAACACTTTCTTGTGGATCTAGCAGGAAAAAATACCACGACGATTATTCGGATTATCAAGATCTTACACATCATGAAATATTTTTTATCTTCATTAGTTCAAAACCATTTTATTTTTATTGGAGCGTTATATATTATCGTCAGTATCCTAAGTTAAATTTTCTTATGTGACCTGTGCCTGACTGCTCTCACTATGCTGCACTACCACTGGTATATGACAACGCACTAATTCGGAGCAATAGATGTCGATTGGAGAGTTACTCAGCAATACATGTCGTGCGCTTGGAATCATTACTCTGGACATAATCGAACTGTCGATCTGATTATTTATATCTGATCCGCCTGATTTCTCAACAGTGCCGGAATGAAACTGTGTCTATATGTTACGTTACTGGGTAAGAACTCACGATCTCACTTCGAATGATGATAGAGCTATGAAATTTTACGATTCGCCCTACTATTTCACGCTCTATATAATTCTATAATTTTAAATAGAGAATCTTAGGAATGATTCTTACCAAAAAATTCTTCTTTCTGTCTGTCCAAAATCCCCAGCCAAGGCAGACACACTCCTTATTCAGCGAATTACCTATTCATATACGTATCGAGACGACGTGTTTTTTCTAACCGACGTAACTAAGTATGGCCAGAAAAAGAAGAAACCTGCTACAGTCTATCCAATACGAATGATTCTCGATTGAGCGTAGGTTAAATTCGAACACAGATTTTTTGTTTTTAGAAAAAATATAGTGAGGTGAATATAATTTTGAAAAAATATCCCTGAGCGCATTTGTGAAAAATTTATTTAAGCTCATTAATATAAAAAGACATATCCTTTTATACTAGTTTATTATTAATGTGGTGAAGGATAAGTAGTAGCTCTTTTATATTATCTAGCATTACATACGGAGATGAAATAAAAAGATAAAACATAAACTTCTTTAAATTTGTACCAAAAAATACGGTTCTGCTACATATCACCCCCCCCAAAAAAAACTACTTATCCTATGATTATTCGTTTTTTCCATAATATAGAACAACTAGCTATCTATTGTTATCATGAATCGATACTATTAATGGTTGGACGTATCCAGACATCTCTCCGAGATACGGTCCTTGTAATAATATACTGATATTCTCATTGGCTCTTCTCAGCGGCGTCTATAATATTTGGGATCTAGAGGTGTCTTGGTATCGCTTTTATAACAAATATTATTATTTTAATTCCTGGTTGTTTCTTTACAATTTGAGTGAAAAATAAATACCAAAAAAAAAAAATCAGAGAATTATCTTTATGAAAGAAATTTCTTCTACGCATGATTAAGGCGCAATCGGCAAAGAGGGCGTTTGGGCGGGTCAACTACCCATGTTCTGGAACACAATATATATTTCATTTTCTGCCTAGAACCATTAGACTATTCTCATTTATCAGTGACACCAGTCAAATGCTCCTGTTTTGCTCAGCTTATAAAAAAAACATCCTTTACTTCATTTTGATTATTATCCATGGGTAGAGTGCTGCATACTCTACCACGCCCCCAATCATTAACGCATTATAAAACTCATAATATTTATTCTAGAGTAAAATCCAATAAACACGCCACTTATTACAATTATAAAAACCATATGTATTTGTTCCTGGTTTCTGGTGAGAAGGCGATAATTTCTACATGGGTACATAATTTATATTGAATCATTTCTCATGAACTAGATTCCCGTATTTACTGTTCCGAAAAACACTCTCCTCTCATTGGAATTTTTGATATATCTATGGCTATATCATCCCCGCATTATTTGCAGGATAACCCCCTATCATGACTTTCCCGTATCTCTCTATTTTGCCTGGATGGTTTTTGAAATTCGTACCATGTAATCTACCCGCTATTTCTTTTCGGTAATAGGATCTTTTTCTTTTCTTCGTTTTCTGTTTTTTCTGTTTTTCTTTTACGTTTTCGTTTTCCTGTTTTTGTACGGTTGTATTCAGTTTTTATAACTGGGTTTTTCTGTTTTCTGTTCCTTTCACGTATATTTTATATTCGTTTTTCCGTTTATTCAATGTTTACATTGTAAAATGATACTATACATGCGTTTTTTTCGTTTCGTATTTATCTTCAAGATTATTATAATAGTTTTGATTTATACGATTTTATTTTCTTTGTTATTTCTTTGGTTATATTCCGTTTTCTTTCGTTTTTAACCGAAGTATTTCTTAAAACCGTTTTCGTATCTTTCTACTAGTCCGGGTCATCAGCACAAACATTCGCCGGGTTTCTTTCTGATTTATCCGTGCGTTCTATTGCTGTTAATTTCGCTTTAACTTGTCTAGACATATTTCAATAATACCGTAACACAGGGCAGTGATGTTTCATTTACTACTCTCTCTGCAACAGCGGCTTTTCTCGTGCTTTCGTATAGTGTGTCTCCAAAACTAAAAACTTTCTCAAGTTTATCGTTTTCGTGTCTTCGAGGGATTTTTACTTTTTCTTATCGGCGTTTATCGTTTTACGTTTTTCTACGTCACTACTCGTTTTTTGCCTGACTTCGCCGCAATGCTTTTTCTTGCTGTTTTTCTCGTTTTTCGTTTATTCGTTTTCGTTTTTCTGTTTGTTTTCCGTGTATAATTTACTGGTGTTTCGTTGTTGATTGTTCGTGTGTTCGTTTTCGTTTCGTTTTCGTTTTCGTTTTTTTCGGTTTTCGTTTCGTTTTCGTTTTCGTTTCGTTTCGTTTGTCGGTTTCGTTTGCGTTTTCGTTTTCGTTTTCGTTTTCGTTTTCGTTTTCGTTTCCCGTTTTACGTGTTTTGCGTTTTCGTTTTTCGTTTTCGTGTTTTCGTTTTTGTCGTTATTCCGTTTTCGTTTTCGTTTCGTTTTCGTTTTCGTTTTTCTTTTTCAACAATCCGTTTTCGTTTTTGACGGTTTCGTTTTACGTTTCGTTTTAGCGTGTTGTCGATTTTCGTTTTTCGTTTTTCGTTTTCGCGATCGTTTTCGTTTTCGGTTTCGTATTCGGTTTTCGTTTTCGTTTTTCGCTTTTTCGTTTTTGCCAGCACGTTTTCGTTGTCGTTTATCGTTTTCCCGTTTTCGTGTTTCGTTTTTCGGTTTTCGGCGACCTGCGTATTTCGTTTCGTTTTTCGTTTTCGTTTGTCGTTTTCGATTTTTTCGTTTTTGCGTTTTACCCGTTTTGTCGTTTTCGTTTCCGTTTTCGTTTTTGAAAAACGGTGAGTTCGAGAGACTTGCTAAATCTAATTCCTCACTCTCTGTGTGATTGTGTAGAATGATGTGCTGAGGGGGAAATGAACCATACTGCGAATCTGGTCGTGATATTCAGGCGGTACCTTAACATAAAGCGCAGTTTTGACAGTTTTACGAAACCTTCGGTTTTCGTTTTCGACACGTTTTCGTTTTCGTTTTTCGTTTTCGTTTTCGTTTTCGTTTTCGTTTTCGTTTCGTTTTTCGTTTTTCGTTTCGTGATACTCGGGCGTTTTATGACACTTTTCGTATTTTGTTTTCGTTTTCGTATCTAGGCACACATTTATCTGTCTTCTTCGTTTATTCTCTACACTTAGTCGTACCGTTTCGTTTTCGTTTTCGTTTTCGTTTTGGTTTTTTTACGCGTATTTCTGTCAGCTTTCCGTAACACCAAAGGGATTGTAACCCCGGCAGGGCACCGAGCGCTAGCGTTTACGCTATTTTTGTTCTTGCCGGTCTCTGATCGTCGTGTGTCGTTTTCGATTGTGTCGAGTATTTTGGCGTTTCGTTTTCGATTTTACTACTCTCTCTTTTGCTCTGTTTTGTTTTTCGTATTTTCTCGTTTTGCGGTTTTTCGTTTTCGTTTTCGTTTTCGTTTTCTTTTCGTGTTTGCGTTTTCCGTTTTCGTTTTTTCGTTTTCGTTTTCGTTTCGTTTTTCGTCCGTCTTTCCGTTTTTCGTTTTCGCTTTTCGTTTTCCGTTCTTACGTTTTTCTTCGTCTTCGCGTTCTTTGGTTTTGGACAGCCTGCCTTGGACCACATTAAGGGATCATTTGTAATCGTTTTCGTTTCGTTTCGTTTTCGTTTTCGCGTTTTTGCGTTTTCGATATTTCTCAGTCATATCTCAGTCGTTCTCTCCCGTTTTCGGTGTCTATTTTTCGTCTTTTCTCGTTTTTATTGTTCTCTTCGTATTATTCTCCAGATTGTGTTGTTCTGGTTTTTCGTTTTCGTTTCGTTTTCGTTTTCGTTTTCGTTTTCGTTTTCGTTTCGTTTTCGTTTTCGTTTTCGTTTTCGTTTTCGTTTTCGTTTTCGTTTTCGTTTGCGTTTTCGTTTTCGTTTTCGTTTCTCGTTTTATGCGTTTTTCGTTTTCGTTATTTCGTCTCGTTTTCAGTACATGCACGTGTTTTTCAGTTTTCGTTTATTCGTTTTTTCGTTTGTCTGTTTTTTCCTGTTTTCTGGGCAAACGAGTTTTCGGTTTTACGTTTTACTTAAGCGTTTTATTCGTTTCTCAAGTGCGAATCTAGATTTTCCTGCATTATCAAGGGCAACACGGGGCGTTGTACTGTTTGATATCTTTCGAGTGATTTTCGTTTTTCTTGAATTTTCTGAGCTCTTTTCGTTAATTCGGGTTTATATGACAGTTTTTCGTTTTCCGTTGTTTGGTGACCTTTTTCTTGTACTACATTCGACCGCTCTCTGAGAAGCGTCACTCTCCACGCCGTTGGCTTCTTACCTCAGTTTAATTATAGAAGGAATGGTTCACCCCGTGATGAGTTCGTTTCGTTTTCGGTTTCGTTTTCGGTTTTCTTTTCGTTTTCGTTTCCGTTTTCGTTTTTCGT